ACGCAACATCACGAACTAATGGGTGCAAGTGAAATATTTGCGTGGTCGTCTATAGCGATTTTTACGAGCGCGTCAATAACGGCAAACGCGTTCAGAAAACTTTCATTACTGATAGCATTTACTTAAAGGAACGATCAATTAGCTTATCTTCATATCCTGCCTTGTGGCAAACGCTGCTGGTGGCGCCAGGGGTGCCAGTCCCGCCATAGCCACCGAAACCGTGATATCACCCCTGGTAGACGGCTGACGAAGACAGGGTATCGCACGTGCTAACATACGTTGTATGTTAAAAAAATGTGTATATATATATATATATATATATATATATATATATATATATATGTGCGTGTGAATGTGGGTGTTTGTGCGCAAATTATTTTCAGACAGAGTGTATCTGTAAATAAACAAAATGAATAAAAAGAGACAAGAGAAAAAACTCTTCTTAGACGACTCGTTTCGTCCTCGGAAGGACGCTATCAAGGCAACGTAGGATTTATTTTGTTGACAATAAAATAACCGGAGAAATTCCCATATCGCATTCGTATATTTGAAATATATGAGCTTGACAACTTTTAACGAAATATTGCAATAACGATATTAAATATGAATGATGATCGTTATGTTAAGGGGACGCAAATGAAAAAGATTTGAAATTGACGACATTTCCCATTTCACTGAGACAGACGATAAACACTTCGATCTTCCCTTCTTTCGTTCATTTTCTGATTGAAACCAGGTAGCGTCTTTCATATGTCTTTTGCCTTGTTACGTGATCAAAACTGAAGAGTCCATTATTTTTGAGGTGTTAACGGTAAACATTTCTACCTTTCTTTCTTTCCTTTTTCACTGAAACCAAGTAGCTGATGTCTCTGAGTGGCTTTTGTCTTTGCATGGGATCAAAACGGGATAATCCATTATTTATAAGGCATTGACAAGGCATCACAGTCGTGTGAACTAAGAATATAGCAAAAGGATTGACAAGCACAATTATTAGATGATTGTAATGATGATAATAATAATAATAATAATAATAATAATAATAATAATAATGATATATGTATATTTATATATAATGTTATCTCTAAATCTTCCGTGTGGAATACGTACTTCCATACCTGCACAGAGGAAATTGATTGCCTTTTTTTAAGAGGAAATTTTTTCGATGTTAAATGAATAGTGAAAGAAAAAAGACAAAGAAAAGATCTGATTTTCAATCCAATATTGATCGAATGAAACAATTATGTCGCTGACTTTTTTTAAAAAATAATAAATGGCTCCATTTTCTCGTTTTCATTCTCCGACATATTTTTAGATATTAAATATTTTACGCAGTCGAAATCATCTAAGCAATCTCTCTCTCCTTTTCTCCCAGCAGCAAACAAACACACGCATTCTTCGATAACTGTGTAATTCCGAACATGTTCATCACAAGGCCAAATAAGAATATGGAATTAATGCGGTTATCAGGTACGTGTTATTTGCCATGTAGCTATCATTACTCATTCGACATATCTGCCCCTGTAATGAAATATATCGCGTGTAACAGCAAAATTGTCCAAATCCTTTAAAAGAACGTACAACCCACAAAATGTTTAATATCTAAAGAATATAATTAAATTAATTGAGTTTCTTTTTTTTACCAGATTTTCAGTTAAGATGTTTAGCCATTTTGACATCATTTTTTTGTAAGAATCACTGAAAAACCCCTTTGAGTTATCAACTAGAAAAAGAGAACAGGTTAAAATAGTTTTGTTTCACCCCGACTGTGTCTTCCCACCTGAGCAATGATGAGATCAGTCAGGCATTCCGTAATGTCAGAAACATTTATACTCTGGCATCCATCTTGAAATTCCATTCAAGAAAGATCAAGAGAAAGGTGAATAAGTTTTAAAAAGCGGGAACAGTAGAAAGGAAAACTAGATCAGGTGGTCATAACAGCAAGAGGGATCATCATTTTAACTTAGAGCTAAACACGTTGTTATTGTTCAAAGTAGAGTCCAGTATTGTTATAAAGAATTTGGATAATTCCAGTAAGATATATTTAATCATTTCTAAGGTACAAGGGTTCAAAGTTTAATGTAACCGTTGATCAATTTTGATGCTACACGATTTAGATAATTTTGTTGTTACACTCGGTATATATATATATATATACATATATATATATATATATATATATATATATATATATATATATATATAATGATGATGATGATAATAAGACGGAGACTTTAATTATCCATTTTGTTTATAATTTTATTTCGTGAACATCGAGATGTTCAGCTCATCAGAACGAAAAACCTTCTTCGCAAATGGAGAAAGTACACCGGACGGACACTTTAGCTTGGCAGTGGGGAGGGAAGAGGAGAGAGAGCGAGAGGGGGGGGGTGGATAAAGATAGGGCTAAGGGATTAGTGGTTGGTAGTAGTCGGTTTTCTCAACCAATAATTTACTCTATACTTTTTAGATTTTAATATTGGTTTATATATCACTATGGATATCATAGTGATATCACCTAACTATCAGGGTTTCAATTCTCGGTAGCGGATGCGCCCTGCTGATAAGTCCCAAATATTGGACGAAACGGCCATTCAGTGCTTTCTGCATTCTTTTGAGGTTTCTATCAGACTCGATGATGATATATATATATATATATATATATATATATATATATATATATATAGGGCAGATGGAAAGAAACTTTGTACTTTACGTTTTTAATTACATGTCGATTTTCCAAAACGTATTTTATTTTGAAAAAGTATAATGGTAGAAATACAGTACAGTATTAGAAATCTACCTTTTGCACATTTTCTTCCGGTCTGGATGTTGAAGGACGATGGCTTCTGTGTCGACAATAGGTCCCATGCTCTTCTGTTTCGAATGACAATTCGCGATGGTTTTGGCATGTAAAGAAGCAAAAGGTCCATGTACACAGCCAAACACGGGCTGCCACACTTCATACCGTGATGTTAGCTGACCACGCTCATCCAATATCAGACGTTGTGTCCTTTTTGGGCCTTACTTGTAACTCTGAAATAAAAACAGAAATTAGCAACGAAATTCTATCACTTTAGGTATCACAATATATTTTGTTTCATGCAAAGGTGATATTGACAAAAGTTATATCTGTAATTTTCAACAGCGAGTTTCTTTCTTTCGGCCCAGCCTGTAGATTCCACATAGAACATAGCTGTCACGTGACCGGAAGCATGCTTGCATTTCTAAAAAAAACCCGCCTTATCTCTGTTGGACATACTTCGCGGATAAATGAGGATTAAGGCCACAAGTTTCTCGAGTATTCTGGAAGCTTCTGGATCCTCTTTATCGAAGAGAACATCGTAGTGCCCCAATGACTTCCGTTCATGTTCATGGCGGACAAGTTATTACTTCGGGACATTTACCGTTTCCTCGTTGCATTAGCCGGATTACTTCTATACAACAGGCTTATTTAGATTTTATAATCAACAGCATTTTTCTTAGCTGGTTGATTATTATTAACGCTATCTAAATACACCTCTTGAACATTTCATAATAGTTTTAATACACCTAAATACAACTTAATATTTCATTTTTAAACATTTAGAACGTATCAAACTCAGTAATGTGATTTCACGCCTATTATGACAAAATACTGTAAAATTTCGCTGCTCTGGTGAGAGGAGAAGGAGCTTTCGGCCGATAGAGTAGTTAACGATTATCATTAACTCTGCTTTTTTGACTCTCTGTCTCCGTGTGGAGAGGAACCTAAACGAGGCTATGCCGAAGGACAGAGTCTCGTGTGGGGAGGTAGACAACTACCCGACACCGTGTATATGGGGTCTACAGGCAATTTTTTACCGGAGTTTACGGGCTCGGAACACCCCACATAAAAAACCGGCCTCGTGTCACATCCCACCTTGTCGGGAGGTCTCGAGTAAATACCGAGAGGAGGAGGAGGGCAGGCCCCTGGCCCGAGTGACCAGAGCGTTTGGACGGGTTCTGTATTAAGTTAGAGGCCACAGTTTTTTGTTTGTCTGCCAGCTGGACGCTAGTTGGAAAATCTATTTCCTTTGTCTATACCGCTCTTCTCTTCCAGCATTTTTACATTACTTCCGGCATTTTTTGAACGGCGTATTCAATTATATACACACCCCTCCAGGGGGTTCGCAACAAAATTTAATCGGGACGAGAAGGTGTACATTATTAGACGGTATGGTGAACACGATTTAATTGTAGACAAAAAAAGTCTATGAGATACTTTTTTTTTATTCCGCTTTCATTCCAGAAGACACCTAACTTCTACTGTCATGCTCTACTTTTACAAGAGTCAGATCAAACGAAGAATGGAGAATTGCTGCCCATTCCTTACTGTAAAGCCTCGACAGATTACAAAAGTGATTACGTGGCCTTGTGGATTGATGAATAATCCTTCACACTGCAGCTCTAGTCCTCACAAAGGAAACATTTATAACCTGTCATTAACCTATCACTACTGTTATGGCAATTGTTCAAATGGGCTATATTTATTAATCCCTGCCTTTCAGAACTTCTCAGTTATCTCTATTACCATCGTGTTCATTTGGTTGCACTCAGACAGCGTCATTCCCAGAACTGTAACTATGTGCAACAGACTCACGAGAAGATGCTTTCCTGTGTTACAGTTTTTTTGTGTATATGTATGTAACTACTGAGCCAGTCAAAATGACTTAACTCACTTTATAGTCCACCAATAGAAGGTTAACCAATCAGAAGACGTAGAACATTCAATCCGTCGTGTATAAAGGCGGCCATTTTTGTTCACTCTACCCGAATGTCCAGTCCAGCTTGTCAGGCGAAGAGAACCAGAAGGACGAACTATGCTCTGCTACTTTTATCGAAATATCCACTGCTAACCTGAAGAACGCTTTCCTACTGTCTTCGAAATATTCACTGCTAATCTCTGGATTCTATACTCGAAGACGACCGTCATTATGAACAACATCCTGATCATTAAAATCTTCGCCTCTTCAAATCGAAAG